ACACACACACACCACGACATCTCTTTTCTTGCATTTTCAATAGTGGGAAAATATGTATGAAGAAAGGGAATTTCAAGAATCAAAAAACTTCCTGTATAATCTGACTAATAATTAATTTGACCATTTCCCTGCTCCTGCCGCTGCTGCTGAGTCATCATCCATTCTCTGGCAAAGACAGACAATTATTCATCAAGGTTCTTACAAATGACTGAAAGCAGGATAAATTCTCTTCTTTGACTGTCATGCTCATAAGTGATTTTGATGTCTTGCCTTCTAAAACTCCCGGCATTTGCCATTATTTTTAGTTTGCTAGCAACAAAATACATTTTTAAAATGAACTAGAAAACAACAGAGTAGCAAACATTCCCCCCACCCCGAATGATTTATCTTCATGTATTTTCATTGTGTGCAATTACAGCAGAAGGGAAAAAACCTCTGGAATTTGAAGTTTTGCTCGATTACCACTTTAATTATGACTTGAATAAATTCAGGTTATATGACTAGGACTTTGGGTTAAATAGCAAGAGGCTGCTAGCCTTCTCATGTCCCCCTTCCCCCCATCTCTGATGAATAATTTTCATTGCTTATATCGGATGACAAAATCCTTGCAAACAAAAACCATCTGACATCATGCAAATCAATTATGCAAGAAACCTACTGGACTAGGTCCTTAAAAATACTGTCAGCAAACAAGTAAAAATCCTCCCCATTAAGATCTGTTAACCTCAGTCCAGTTTTCATTTTTTTAAAAGACTAGAGACATTTCATCTCTATACTAATTTGCTTTCTGTGTGGGGAAAAAAACAGGGAACATAACCAAGACAGTATTGCTATGCCTCTCTGTACTGATCTAGGCTGATGGCTGCTAATGTAAATACATAATTTGGCACTTATAAGAAGGGCCCATATTAGGATACAGGGCCCATTTCAGGACAATGGGCCTTCTTCAGCTTTAAAGCTCCATCTGGCAGCATTGCTGCTAGAGCTGTCAGCCGGAAGAGCTGTAAAGTGCAAGGAAGCAGCCCCTGTACCTGCAAATCCTCTGCTTGCACAGAAACTGCTCTGCTCTATTTTCTAGTGTAAGATCTGCCTAACAGAGGTTGAACTCTAGGATGACCACACAGAAAGAGACTGGCAAATTAGCTTTTGGATAATTGTCTCTTACCTGCAAAGCAACATCATTTAGCCCAGTCCCCCAGATTTTGATAGCATCCTTTCGTTACTGGTATGGCTGCAAAAGCAATGATGTCATGGGGAGGAAGCAGTTACAGTCACGTGATTGCATCCTCCCTCTGTAGGGTATCAGCTGGGGGAGAGAGAGAGAGAGAGAGACAGTTTGTAATCCTGCAGGAATCAGTCGAGGCAGTGAAAGCTCGATCACCCTTTTCTACACATATCATGTTGTGACTTACAAAGCTCTATTAATCAAAATGGATGACTAGCTATTTCATACCCAGGTTGCTTTTCTAAAAAGAGATTATGATTTTGTCACAGCAATAATAAATCATTGTTAATGAAGAAAAGCTAAGTAACTATGAACTCATGTGTCCATACGTTATGAGCAATATTGCTGTTTATTTTATAGCAATGCCCCAAGGCCTCGTTACATATTTCATAAATATAAAAAGTTACTAATCACAGTAGTTTGAAAATGGCACAAACCACAATTTTATAATTTCTCGCAATCCTCTGACAGCTTCTCACCTTACTCCTTTCCAAGTCTATCCAAAAATGCAGCTGCAAAAAACATTTTTCTCCCACCATATCACACCCTCGTTGAACCCTTTAACTGACTCCCTTTATCTTCCTCATGTTCAAGCTTCCTGTCCTTACCTCCAAAGTTCAATACTTCCCTCCATCTATGTTCTGAGCTCTTCTTATTCTCCCATTTTGCTTGTCCATGCCTAACCACTTATTTGTGTATCCTTTGCCTACTCATCTTTCTCCCCTCTCTCTTCCATGCTGCCCCTTGTGCTTGAAATTGTTCTTTTCCTATGTGCCACATGTTTACCCTCTTATTTGTCAAATTCCTGTTTAAGTTTTTTCCATGGAATCTTTTACTAACAATTCACTTAAAATACATTAAATAGCTTAAAAAAAAACCCAAAACAAAAAAACCCCAAACCCGCAATCTTCATTGCTCTGACTTTCAAATCATTGGTCATCCAGCAGATCACATTTGGAACCATTCTCTAAGGACAAGTTTGGACTGAGTTTTACTCTAATTACAGGACCATTCTGAACACACAGGGAGTTCTCTTGTTTTAAATAAATGTTTTTATAAGAATCATGTACGCCTCTAGATTTACCTTTCACAGTACATAGTTCACAATGAAATTTTACAGAATATACTACATATACATAATTGTGTAAAAGCATGTTACCAATTTTCTTTTATGTTTTATTATAGCATTACACTGACATTATTCATCCTCCCTTATTTGAATATACATTTGGTTTAGCCTTAATGATCTTCAATGAAGACCTTTTCAATACCAAATAAGAGAGTAAACACAGCAACGTTTAGGGTGTTGTCTTAAGTACTGCACTTTTATTACAATATTCTCTTTGCATCCCCCACAAGTCTCTCGCTCACTTGGAATATGCATTTTGAACTGGCCCTCAATTCCACTAGTCTCTTCATGGTCAAAGCCTTCCTCAAAATCCACTTCTGTTGTGATACAGTACCTATAAAAAATTAGCTACCTAACAATAGGTAGGGTAAAATAGTATGTTTGCACTCAGGGAATCATTAGTAGTCTATGGATGGGGCACACAGAGGAATTCCAACCAGACCCTTTTGGGTTAACAAAGCAGTTCTGCAGCAGTTCTCTTTGCATTTATGTAGAACATTTGGGGCAGGCCAAACAAATAGCCAACAGGTCCATAACTATGTATACCCAACTGGGCCAAATCCTTAGGTAGGGACTGCATAGCAGGTGTTACTGTAAACAGGAAACTGGATTAGTGACTTCAGAATGGCTACACAGCTGCTCCAAATCTGGGCTCTAGGTTGAAGGAAGTGCCTGTCTCCCTGGTTTCCCAGGCAGATCCTCTGACCAAATCCCATTTACATGGACTTTGCGTAAGAGATTAGATCTTGGCACTTAGTCTGCTATGTATGGGTTTTCTCAAACATTTTCTTTGCGTGGACCACATCTTAAGAGAGAGACTGGCTTACGATCCACCTCCCTGCACATTCATGATCAGGCAGATCACCATTCCCCCATCCTCATTCATAATCATGTAAGAGCCCTGTGCCAGTTACTACAATTGTGTGCATGGAAAAGTAGCAGTAGGAAAGTATTTAGGATCGGACTTTCAAAAGTGCTCAATACTGTCCTAACTCTGCTCTACCTGGAATCAGGAGTAAAACTCCAATTGATTTCAATGGAAGCAGCTAAGCTGTCCCATCTCTTGAAAATCCTACCCTTAAGGTACCTGGAGTTTCGTTTAATGGAGTTTAGCAGTTCAAAATAAGGAGAGCAAGTACTATGTGACCCATCAGTTCTTTATAGGCCACATCTGAGGAACCTCCTATTACATACAACATAATCCTAGCACCATAACTCTGGCCGTAAGCAAGGGAGAGAATGGCTCGACTCAAATGAGCATATACCAAAGGGCTCTCTTTTTGTGTAGAGAAGCTTCCAGCAACTACATTATGAAATGGACCAAACAATCTGCTCAATTTATATTCTCATATTGAATGGGGGAAAAGCAGTAGTACTGTATACATGATGGTTTTTCTTTGAGGAAATAGTTTTGTTTTCCATATTACAAAAGTTCTTGAGTATTTTAAACATTCTCCCCGTAAATGGAACCTTTTAAAATCTCTCAGGTCTTCTAATTGTGGAGTTTCTTTACAGTTAAAAAGTACACTGGGTTTGTAATGAACATAGTCTTCCTCCCTGGGATAAAATCTGATATTTTATTATGCTCAACAGGACCTATAGTTAACAACATACATAATCATCTAAGCCTTAGAAGAATCTTGTCATCTTTATGTAACACTTACCTTGAACTATCATCTTGCAATATATTTACCATTGTTTGAGTAAAAGAAATACATAAAACTTTGTTCTCATACCATGTTGCAATTCCAACATATCTCCTTTAACTTTGTTGTTGATCTTGATGGCAACAACTTTGTTGTTGATCTTGATGGCAGCAAAACTTCCAAAGTCTATTTCCAGTAGACAGGTTAAAAATAGTCTAGCTCTATTATACCCATAATGCCTTGTAAACAGTGAATTGAGAACAGCATACGTTCAGTGCTATAAATCCCCTCTCTACTTATGCTGCCCAGGGTTACACAAATACAATCAGGTCACCACCATTCTGCAGCATAGTGATCCACTATCTTCCACGTGTTTTGTATATTCATTTTCAAATTGAATGTATAGTCTTCAGAAAAAAATGTCCTAGTGTGGCTTAGTAATAGGTCAATCGAGCTAGGAATGAAACTCAAAAATTAACTTATACTGTATATCTTACTTCTTCTTTGAAGTGATTTCCATCTAGGAACTATGATGCTCAATAAGTTGTTAAAGAAGAAGTAAAAGTAGTAGTAGTATGATGCTGTCTGCAGAGCACAAATTAAACCTTAGTAAGGAAATCTTGAACAGCCTTTTCTCTGCAGAGAAATTGCTCATAATAATACAAAAGTAGCAAATATGCCCAGAAAAGGTCTTAACCATGAGCCTCTGATGCAGATGTAAACTTATTTTCAAGAGGCGGTTTTAGTGCTAAGGCTTTGGGACATTATTCCCCACACACTGCACTCTGGATCCATTTCAAGCCTTCAGGGTAACCTTTCTGGACTGATTGATTTCACAAGCTCCCTAACTTTTACTATTAGATGAAAGTTTATTATAGTGATGTCATCTAAATAACAATGCTATACAGCCCACGAAATTGCTTTGTAAAGGTATTATTATAATGACCTATATGTAATTATTTCAAAAACATCTTATATTGTGGTACATAAGAAAGCTCTATTTGTATTTATAGTAAATTATTTTATTCTGTAGAAGAAATACTTTCCAAATAATACAAATGACACAATCGTACAAAACTGTGACAAAAACAAGAGAGATGAATACTGAATATTATAACTCATTACCACATCAAAAAGAGTACTCATTACAGCAGTCAATCTTGGACTCACAAAACATTCTGGTGATACTGTACAATAGGCACCATTAAAAAAAAAAAACAGGAACATTTGCCATTAGATACTGCACTGTTATTTCCTAGTCTAGGTATTTGACAACCTGTGACATCTCAGATATCACAGTGCGTACCTGTTGGTAAATACTGCCTTTTTAATGGCAATCACTGTCAAAGAGACAGATCTATTCCCTCTCACTCACTGGGACATTCAGGTAATGAGCACTGAAAGAGTTGGTGTTCTCAGACTTTCATCCCAACACAGACAAGTCTTTCAATTGATTTTTAGTTATTTATTTTAAATAAGTATTTATTTTTGTTGGCTTATATTCTGTTCATTTTTTGAATCTTTCTTATGCAGGCTTGAGGCCCTTATCTACAGCTACCAATACCACTGCCAAGAAAAGAGGCTTGAAGGCAGTTAGTATGATAAGGCCAAATATTCTTTTTTCATGCCAGATTGGATGAATAGAAAGCTTACAAACACTATGTCAGGTAAAAAGGAATATAATTTAAAAACACAAATGTCTTTGTTACTAATAACGTTCGGGTTTTTAATATAATATACTTTTGCTATTTATATTCGGCTTACTTTCTTCCACAGCTTGGACACTGAAAATAGACCCAGTCAGTTTAACTTTCAGGTTCTCATGCTCTTTCATAATGCTACAGTATATGAGTCCTAACACTGCAGGGAATGTTTACTTGTTTATAAAAATAAATGAAAACAATCTACTTGTCAGAGATTTTGCAATTTTATTGGCTTTTTACAAAACCTAAATTTGGGGCCAAATCTGTCCTGACGATGTCCCTTTAACCAAGAGAGACCTTGATTTTCACACTGGATGTTCCAACAATTAGATTAAATAAGTCTTGTGTGGGGTGCCCTTCTCTTTAGGTAATGCACATTCGAAAATATTATCAACTGTCTATAGTAGCTTAGTAAGAAGCATTTTTACATACTTGCAAGGTGCAAGGACACAAAACTGGCATTATCGGGAATTTAGGGTGACAGTCCTATGTTAAAGCAAATGGTAACAAATAAAATCACTCCTGGCCAAGTTGTAGTTGGCCCAGCTGCCAACCAAGTGAGCTATTTCTTCCAGAGATACAAGTCCTGTTTCTGAAAAGCAACTCTATTCAGGAAAGCACTTAGACATGTGCCTAACTCAAAGCACATGCTTAAAAAGATCTGCATGTATTTAACCTCCCTTCTGAATAGGGATGCTTTCCAGGAACTAGGACTTAAGTACTTTCCTGAATGGGGCCACAATCTTTAAAACTACTCAGATGCTATATTCTTTTACTGGTTTTATTAATATGGCAAGTTTGCCCCCGCCCCATTTCCATCTTTATTAAATCATAGCAAAACAAAGACATGCCACCCCTTTCCTTCCCCCCGTTTAAATTGAGAATCTAGTTAAAAATATAAAGATACATTAAACACAACTGAAATGAGAACAGTCTATTAGTGCACAGTAAGAACATGCAAATGAGTTCTGCAACATTGAATGGCATTTTTAATCAATATTAAAAACATTGCAGGTGATAATATTTTGCTATAACACAGACAGTGCTAAAGAATACAATTTACATTATAAGATACAGATAGTAAAGCTGATAAAAGTGACAAATTTAGAACATAGTATTTTCATTTCAGGTATCAGAAACAAAACCAGCTCAATGGTTCCATTCTACTGTATGACAAATACTGAAGAACAAAATTTCAGTCTTAAAATACATCTTAAAGTAGGTATTTTCCTTCAAGGAAAAATGTGCTATAAATAAATTACAATACAGTGAATTTGCCTGAACTCACTTTGTTTCTGTCTTCCAGCCTTTAAATCAAATAAAACAGCATAAAAACTGTACACACTCTTAACAGGATAGCTGATCTTTTATAAAATAAGTTGTCTTCAGAGATGTCAATTTCACAACAAGGAAAAACCAAGCCTTGTTGCAGTCACTATTATAAAATATATATATGTGTATGTATATATATATATATATTTATATTTATATATTTATTTATATATTTTTTTACTTTTACTTTTTTTACGTTTTTATTTTTTACAAAAGGTGTATATTAATAGCTTTTGCACAAACTTTTAAAAAGAAATTTAGCTAGTCTAATAATTTCATTAAAATAAAACAGACAGATAAATACTTCATGTTTACAATGCAACATGTTACACGTCATCAGCTGGCAGAGGAGGTATGTTAATCCTTGGCCTTGTAAAAAATGCTATCTTCTCTCTGTCATTGAAAAAACAGATATAAAAAGGCGGTCAAACCAATATATATAGAGTTTCATTTCAGGAAACTGAATTTGTTTCCATCTTTATTTAGCTGTTATTAAATTCTTCAGATCAAATATTTATTGAGGTGTTTATAAACACAGTAAACCAGGCCCATATTGTATAGCTATAATAAATAAATAATACATGCCACCTAGCTCTTATATAGCACTTTTCATCAGTAGCTCTCAAAGTGTTTTGCAAAGGAGGTCAGCATCATAGAATCAGGCTTTTGGAAGAAACAAAAAAAAGCACTACTAGTATCCACTACTAGCTACACAGGATTGAACTGAAGGAGGAATACAGAAAGTATTTGACAATATAAACCATAGACACTATTACTTTTTGGAAGAAAGCTGCTCCATAGTACAATGAACCACACAAGGCTCTACACATCGGCTAAGCCTTACGTAGTTCCTCTTCACTGGACAAAACTGCACTGTTTTAGATTTTACTGACAACCCATATAGAAAGTAACTGTCTATTTCTGGATACATTCATATTTGAAATAAGGACATTCTTATTCTTCCCACTTTTTTATCCCACAGCAAATTAAATGTGATTAGAAACTATCCATGGTTTCATCTCTACAGACCAGCCCATATATTTGATTTATTTCCTCCCTGCCTTGTGTTCCCCAATATGCAGGATTTAAGTTGGCGCCGTTATTGCAGGAATTAGAGAACTATCAAAAACCAACCCTGCAATTTCTGCTCTCCTGATGCCCTGCCTGTCAGCCTAGGAGAAAGGGATCTTTGATAGCATCTCCCAAATGAAAAATGAAATTAAAGACCTGATTCGTTTATTTTTCACTTAAGCCTTCCTGTTACCATTATAGCACCATTATTCAATAATCACAATCAATGAAGAGAGATTCTAACAACCAAAGCATTCTGTGAACATCTGCCTAATATGAGACACTAGCTGTGTTTTCTACTCTGTCATTGCATTGCAAGCATTTACTCTTAAACACTTTATGACATGGAGTATACATATGAATATACAAAACAAACTGCTACTTTAATACTAAAAGTCAGAAAAATCATCATCTGAAATGCATGTTAATATTTACCAAAGCCACTGGGAAGCAAAGTTTAAAACTGTATATTTGACGTAAGAACTATAAGCAGCAGCAGCCGCAGATGAGGAAGAGATGAGGAAGGATACAAAGCACAGAGATTTTTGGAAAGAGCAGTTGAGAAACAGGACTGAGGTTGGAATGGTAAGAAAGAACAGTTATGGGTACAATGCTATTTACTAAAGTACATATAGAACATTAACTAATTTACTGTGTATATAGGGATGCAACTGGTTCTTGGAGAACTTAAACCATATGAGCTTGGAGCCCAAAGCATATGGCGGTGTTAGTAGCTGCCCTAATTAGAATTATAGTCTAAAAATATGTCTACATAAATATGGAGACTCTCTTTTTGTATTACAGCATTTTTTTATTTGCAAGTTGGGTGACAGCACTTCTTCACTTTGGTTTTCAGTCTTTGTAGCATGAATTGCTCAAAAGAAAAGCACTCTAATGAAAACAGGCCCACATCAATATCCAAGTAAAGGTTATAGATACATAGGATACTACACAATGAAGCTAGGTGGTTTGGAGCTACTATAATAAAACATTAGTACATTACAACCAACAGAGACCTGTAAAGATTAAACATGTGCTATATTCAATACAGATGTTATTGCTTACCGAAACGTCTGCACCTGAATAGGTTCTTTCTGGTTTTGTCCACGCAGTTGGTATACTTCTTTGGATGCTTTCTTTAGCATTTTTTCAGCTACTTGTTCTTGGTGATGATCAAATTTGGTCTGTCTTGTCTGAAAAGTATTAAAACCAAACTAAAAATGAATAGCTGGAAACACATGGAAATGAAGACATCTAGTTAAATAATGTGCTTTCCCACTTCATCTCAATGAAACCAGCCAAGCACAAGGTCTGAAATAGCTAGACTCCTCAGAGCCACAGGACTGTTTCAGTCCTTATTGCTCCTGAGAAAGATGTGTTAAATTCCATGTAGTTTACTATATTTCCATCTTTCAAATGAGACCATTAGCTAGAGTTTGTGCCTGCTCTATGTGGGCACTGAAAATCCAATGGCAATTTTTTGTAGTCATTTGCCCCAGCATGCTTTGTTACACTTCCCTTTCCCATCAATGGGAATTACAGTATGCATACACAGTAAGAGGAAATTATGCAGAACACTCATGTAAGATAAAATATCAAATCAGTGGATATTCATCCAGAGGCCTATGGGAAAAAACGCATTGTGATTCCCCTACTAAATATCTATAACTTACAGCAATATCACAAAATACTTTAAAAATACTACAAAAATCAAACTTTTGATGGAGAGTTTTAACGTCTCAGACACATTAAATAGTTCCATCCTCCAGTAATTGTCACCAATGTGGTATTCAATCATAATCAATTATATGATGTTTTCATGAGGGCAACAACAAGGGTATCCGGGGTGAAACTGTTTATTTGAAATCATGTAACATTATAAAGTTCCATTCATTTAACTTCACCACTTCCAAGGTATATTTACAATCAAGCAGGCTTTAATCAAAGGTTCTGAGTATGCCCAACGTACAGCCCAAGAAACCATACCTGTCTCTCTGCTTCCTTCAACAAATTTCGGAATCGTTCGTCCCGAAGGACCCAGTGGGGAAGATCAGTTTGCCCTCTGAGTTGGGCATCTTCCAGACGTTGCTTCAACTCTCTCAAAGCACATATCTCCTCATTCAGTTGTCTCTGTCTAGTTCTGGATGCCTGGAGATCCAGCTCCAGGTCTAGGGATGTCCTTGTCATAAGCTCAGCCAAAGAAGATCTACAGGACTGCTGGGTTATTATAATTCAAATAAAACATACAACAGATGTTATTCAGAACGTATTATATTGATATATTCTTAGTTGATTGAGGGCAGACATTTCATGTATGCCTTTAACTCTTCTGACATGGGAAGTTTTGGAAATAACATACCAATCTCACTGTGACAAGACTAAACATATTTTGTACATTAGGTATACTATTTCAATTCATGTTTGATGGTAGATCCAAATTTTGGTCTAAAACAAACTAACCACCTTTTCCAGGTAAGATGTCTTAGTCTATACATATTTATAGGGTTGTGAACCAAACTTTCTTATTTTACAAACCTTCCACTGCCATCATGAAATTCTTACTATTAAATGACGACTTCAGGAATAGCTTTCAGCAAAGGGTGCTGTACAAACTACACCACTCAGGAGTAAACCCCAAATGCACTGTGACTCAAGAGACACATCCTGAGTAAAAATTCCTTCCAAGCTTCCTCCTTGCTCTGAAGGCAGTAGCAATTTCTTACTCATCTCTTCCAGCAATAAGTTGTAACACCTCCCACACTGGATCAGCTGCACTGACCAGCAAATACAAGTGATGAAACTAAGGCTCCGCACACTCCCTGCCCCCCTGCTCTGGTAAGAGACTAAAGGGGTACTTAACCTTGCTTACTCCTGAACACCTAGGACCAAGGTCTAGGTAGATCACATAGGGTTGTAATGGGGATTTCTAATTGGTCTCACTGCACTTTGTGGGTATGCAGCCAAGCACAGTCTTACCCATAGTTTTAACACACTGGATGATTAAACCAATTCATAATCAGTATCTATTTAAATTGGTCATTAGGTGACAGGCAAATTTTTGCAGTTGTTTACGACTGTATCTCAAATATCTGTCTCTTCAACTAAAAAAAACCATTATTTATTACATTACAGTATCAGATGCTTCATAAAAATTGTCTTAACATACACCTTTGAAATCCAGGTCAAAGTACCGCTGCTTCAGTTTGTAAAAAAAGGTCTCAGCAGAGAAAAATCCACATGCTCATATACTATAGTATACCTGCTTATAGCGCAAAGTACGCCTTTCCAATGTATTGCGGATGAAGGGTGACTTCCTTGGCAGGGTTGAACTATCACTGTCACTACGGTACAGCTGTTTAGAAAAGATATTAAACATAAATGGACATTTACTCATGGCTACTTTGGAATTAAAAATTTTACAAGCTTTTAATTGGAAACAATGATAGACACCAGAATACTTTTCTAGGACACTTGGGATTTACTTACATTAATGGACAAAAGTTCTCAGATTGCATCCTAAGTTCATATTTGCCTTCACTTTAAAAAAATTCTATTGTGCAGTTTCTGAACAATGTTTAGTTGTTAAAAGATGGTGCATGTGTTTCACTATATTTCTTTTTAAATGGCCAACAGATTGTTGTGGTTAGCAAGAGTGATCTACCATCAAAAGTGGTTTATTGTTGTGTATAACAAGCCAATCTTCTCAGTGTATTTGCAAGAAGGTGGCATGTGACCAGGATTCATCACTGAATTTGGTCCGCTGGTTAGATCATTAGCTTTCCCAACCAGGGCTGGGTACTGACAGGGAGTGCGACATCAACACTGATCCATGCCAATGTAAGGGGCTGTGGTCCCCTTACTGAAACTTAGTGGGGGGTTTTGGCTCTCTCCCAGTATCAAAAGAAAGGGCCAATGAGAAATCAAGACTCTGAGACAGACACTCCCCAGGGCCAATGGGGAGAGGCCAATGCTCCAGGTCAGCCTGACTGACAGGGCAGGCATGCCAATGAGGGAGTCAGGAGCCCGGAGTCCCACCCCTCTCTGTGAGCCTCCAGAAGCAAAGTGGGGCGGAGGTACGGAGAGAGCAGAGCCACAGCGATCCAGAGAAGAAGCCCAGGGAGCAGAGCTGGAGGCAGAGCGGAGCTGGAGCAGTCTGGAGCCGGGTGCGGTGAGCAGCTAAGGAGAGTAAGGGAGGACCCCAGGCAGCAGGCCAAGCGCAGGGAGACATCCCCAGCCAAGAGGTCTTGCAGGCCAGACTTGAGGGGTGGGTGGGGGATCATAACCCTGACGCTGGGAAGAAGGGTCCTGCCACCTAGAGCCTGCAGGCGTGTGGCCATTGCCAGAGCAAGTGTCTGAGCTACGGTATCACCACAGCACAGCCACAGCCTGGACAGGAGGCCTTGGACATGTAGGGTGACCCGACAGCAAGTGTGAAAAATTGGGACGGGGATGGGGAGTAATAGGTACCTATATAAGAAAAAGCCCCAAATATCGAGACTGTCCCTATAAAATTGGGACATCTGGTCACCCTATGGACATGTGAGGAACAGACTGTGAATTTCTCTTACATTCCAGAGACAGCTATTTGTGGTTCCACCGTGCTCACGGGGCGGTATTACGTGTTTTCCTTTAACCTTTCCCATATTCTTCCTAATTTTTAAAAATTAGTTCTGTTTAATAAATTATATTTGCTTTGAACTATATGCAATGACCAGGGGTCAGGGAAGCAACCAGTGCAGAGAGAGCACCCTGGCATGGGGCACCCTAGCCTCGGTCTTAAGTGAGCACAACAGGACTGGGGGTCGAGCCCCACAGGAATCCTGGGCCCAGCCTTATTGGGATTACGGGACTCTGCTGCATAGGAGAGTGGAAGGGGAGGTAAGGCAGGCCTCTGTATAAAGGGAGTGGGAGTGAGGACTCAGATCTTTTGCTAGCCAATTCCACCAGAGTAGTGTATAATCTAGGAAGGTTCCCCACTATAGCGGGACCATTCCCCCGCTTACACTAATGTCACTAAATTACTAGCTTTTCAGATTCAATGAGGTGCCTGCTTTAAACAATATATAATAAAATACTATCAAGCATTACGTAGTGCTTCACTTTGGATAGAAATGTGCAGCAATTTTATCTGAGCCTCTTGCAGAATGAGATAAGAATGCATTTTCAAGGCGTGTCAAGTGGCTGCTATGCGAGTTATTTGTATTATTGTAGCAAGAAGGATCAACAAGGATCAGAACTCCACTATACTAGACACCAAATAGACAAAAAACAAAGAAGAGCTATGTTATGGAGGTCAGCAATATCTATCATAAGACCCTAAAAGACTATTCTACCATTTAATTCTTAATATTTTATAGAGAACTAAGTTCCTAGTGAACTCTTTCCAGTGATAATACTTTAATGCAATGCAGAATTTTTGGTTGAACTTTAAAAAAATATAGATACTGATTCTTGTAAATATGTTGTAAGTATTAAAAAAAAGCACACTTTAATACACTTTCTGCTTCTGAACATAAAACCACAAAAAAATTTGACTCACTCTGCAAACATACTGACTTCGTGCTCCAGGTGAGAAGGTTTGTGATCGAACAATAGTGCTACTACGAACAAAAGCAGAACCACGGGGCCTGCGGCAGGTTCTCTCTTTTGGAAGAATAGCGACTTCTTCTGGAAAGAGATCTTCTGTGTTAGTCTCTTTATCCACCTAGAATCACAGCCCAAAACAGTACATTTACTCCAATGTTCTCTTCTACAACAAAAGCAGAAAAACTTGCCATGTAAGTTATGGATCTAGTTTTAATTAATATGTCCAGTTCATGAATCATCTCTCAATTAAGAAACCATAATTCTAAAACCATACAATTCAAGATAGTGGGACTGGTTTGCAAGTGCTAACAGCCTTTCTGCTGGGCCTTAAACCATCAGGAGATTAACATGTAGCATCCTATAGCCACATCATCAAATAGCACAGGCACTCTGTTGGACTGAACAGCTACCTAATCTCCTATCTCAATGGACAGAGAGAACTAAATCACTTTTCAGAAAACTGTGCTGATTCTCAGGAAGGGGGTAACTCCACAACTAAGTCATTACAAAGGTAGGGAGAAGTCAGTCACAGGGAACCAGGAAACTTTTTTTTGACGATATCACAGAAAAACCTCAAAGCATTTGGAGAACCTGAACATATAAGCTTTGAACCAAGCCTCCAAATTTTTAGATGGCTCACTTAACTATTCAGTATGACTCAATCACAATGTGACACTGAATGGTGTATCACACTCTGACAGGGCCAGATCCTCAGTAGGTGTAAATAGATGCAGTTCCATTGCTGATTTACACTAGCTGGGGACCTGGTCCATGTCTTAACTCCTCAAACAAAACATTTTAAATGACGTACAGCCTTCAATCCACCAAATTTGGTCTGAAAACCAGCTATGTTTATTTTAACAAAGTGAAAGCAAGGTAACAAACTTAACCTTTCCGCTTTTACATTTTAAAAAACTTGCATGAATGTGGTGACATTGGTATGAGTACTTGCATTTGGGGATGGCCTTCTCCACAACACTTCTAGGGAACACAGTTACTGAGTGTAGGTCCCTGCTCACTCATTATGCAGGAGCAAAAATATTTCACCTTATGAGTTGACAAAGTGATTCTGTTCAATAAGAAACTGGACAAGTATCCAATTATAGGAAGTAAAATTAAGAGAAAACATGCAGTTTTCCCTCAAAAGTAACTAGAAAGAGTAAGTTGAACAACTCGATATAGATTATGATTTTCAGCATTGCAGACAACAATGTGTCAGGGTTTTCGATGCAGCTCTGATTTTTTTTTTCTGATCAGATAACACGAGTTCAGCTAGAGCAAGTAATACGCTGTGTGCTAGGCATTTGCCAATCTTCAAGAGTACAGTGTTTTCTCTACTTACTTTTAGGGGCGGAGGTTGCACTTTCCCAGAACTGTATTGACCTGCCTGAACTGCAAACGTATGTCCACGTAACGATTCGCCACAACATGTCTCTGGATAAGGTGGGCTGGTCTGAGTGCAATTACTACATCCACTGTCAACAGATTCTGCTTGCCAACTCCTAAGGACAGAACATTTCAAGGAACTCTAAGAAATGTGATGGAATTGTGCAAAAATATGTGCCATGTTAATGAATTTCAACATCCAAATCTTCAAGGATAATTTGCCTTTTCTAAAATTTTGTTCCTGCAGTTCTGATTCATTCCACTTGAATGAGGTGATTATTCTATTTGGACCTCTAAGGTATACAGACAAGCAATCAATTTCAACTCTTTCATGAAAGAACCAGCTTTTCTAGTCCTCCCAGAAAGTCACTTCCCAGTCTTGAAAAGAGCATTAAAATAAATAAAAGGACAAAATGCCTCTCTCACACAACAAACTAACAGCATGAAAAACAGTGATGTATAAAATAAAGGACTGCAAAGAGTGGATTATTTAGCTTGTAAAACAGAAGAGCAAGAGGAGCGCTAACTGAAGGTTTTCAAAATTATGAACACCATAAAGAAAGTGGCCAGTTCCTCTTTTTAAAATCTCTCTTATAACATGAAAAGAAAGGAATATCGTGTAATTAAAAGGCAGAAGAATACAGAACACTTTCGTTATGCAGTTTATGAGGGCATTTTGTGATGTAATATTCAATATCAAGACTCTGTATAAAATAGGCAATGGGAGAGTCGTATAAAATCTCGCTGTTGGTTTTCTGTTTTACAGAGCAGTACCCGAGGAACTCATCACACCATGTAGCTGGTTTTGGAGAACACACTTTTTATTTTTATTTTTTAGATGGTTCAGGTCCATCTTTCTGGGACCTGCTCCTTTTCTTAAATAGATATAGCTATACCAGATCAGGCTGTTGGTACAGTTAATCTGGTATAATGCCTCCAGCAGCAGATCCTTAGCCAGTTGGAGGTTGGACAATTCCTGATGCTTGCAATGTACATCCAATAGTAGGAGATTTGGTTGCCCATGTCATTATCTTACCTTGAATAACTACAAGTATTGTTACTAGACCTACAATTATGCAGTCGCTTTTTAAAGTCCAGACACAGTGTTTTTTGCTGAGAATTTCTGCATCAATAAATATAGGTTGATCATACACTGCATAATGAAGCAGCCTTCCTCATGCAACTTTTATCTAAGACTATACAACCCTAACCTAAAAATATCTTTTTAATACAAGCCAAAGCAAAAAGAAAAATGGATAAACAATATTTAAGGGCCTATACTATCCTTGGCATCGGCAAAAGAGGTTTCTTTTCTTTCAAGCGGGTCATTCCAGGAGGTGAGACTAAAAAAGTACTTGCTATACAAAAGGAGATCCTAGTTTTGAAAATGAAGTTAAAGACTAACCTTTATGGCTAATTTATTGGTAGGAAAGATGAAAAAAACTGTTTCTACAAGACAAAGCCAGTAACCTGCACATCTTTCTGATGCAAAAACAGTAATAGCAAAATAAGTTGTTCACTTAGGGCTTGTCTATACTTACCGCGCCGGTTCGGCGGCAGGCAATCGAACTC